CCTTCCCCCGTCTCCTGGCTTGCCTGCCTGCTGGGCAAGGCAGGAAGGGCCGGGGAGAGACATTTAAATGCCTCCCCGTGGCTTCTCTGTGGAGTTGTGCCGCTGCTGTGGTGCGACTCTAGGAAAAAGGAGTGCGGGGGCAGGGCTGATGGGGCGGGCTGCCGGAGCAGTTCTCCAGCCCCAAACGACCCCTGTATTTAAGTATTGATTCTATATCTGACCTATCTGTTATTTCAAAAGAGAAGAGGGAGGTTCCATCAGATATTACTGCCTTTGAGGGTAATTCTTTTAATACTCTGATATGGTAAGTAGCACTTGCACCAAGTTTGCTAGTGTTCATTAGCTTCCGGCAGCTTACTCTGATATTTCACATGTAATTCTCAAAATTAGGAATACAGGGGCCATGTTATGAAGTTTTACAAAGACTTATTATTTATCTGCATAAAGGAATGGCAAAAAACTGTATATTAATACTTACATTAACATCAGTTTTGTTCTAACAAAGGTTTTAATGGATTTCTTACAAGTTCACTGGTGCCACTGAAAATCTTCTTTAAATGAACGCTTTGATGGGGAAGCTACACCCATGAGCAGTGCTTTGGACTGAGAGATCCTTCTTTTTGTTTCAGAAAGGCTGGTAGAAAGTCTCCGCTTGCCACAGGTGCCCACCCTTCACTCCCAAGTGTTCCTGTTTTTCAGAGTCTTGCTTTTAAGAATGTCTCCACAGCATCTAACCTCACTTTGGCCCACCATGATCACAGAATTGGTGAGATCCTATCTAGATATGTGATTTGGAACACTGATAGGGGGAACATTTAGAAATGATGATTGCAGGCAAAAAACAAGTCGTGATGAATTTATTAGGGGCTGTCACAATATCACAAAACATCTTGTACAAGTCATCATGAGAAGAAGAAGAAGAAGAGAAGAAGAGATTGGATTTATACCCCGCCCTTCACTTGGAGTCTCAGAGCGGCTTACAAACTCCTTTCCCTTCCCCTCCCCACAACAGACACCCTGAGAAGTAGGTGGGGCTGAGAGAGCTCTGACACAAACTGCTCTTTTTCAAGGACAGCTGTGCCAGAGCTTGTGGCTGACCCAGGGTCACATCAGCAGGTGCAAGTGGAGGAGTGGGGAATCAAACCCGGTTCTCCCAGATTAGAGTCCGCGCACTTAACCACTACACCAAAGTGGCTCTAAATCAGTAAATGAGCATTCAATCAGTAATGACAAAAAAGAGCAAGACTCCAGTAGCACCTTAAAGACTAACAAAATTTGTGGCAGGGTAGGAGCTTTTGTGAGCCATTGCTCTCTTCTTCAGATTCAGGTATCTGAAGAACTGAGCAGTGACTGACAAAAGCTCCTACCCTGCCACAAATTTTGTTAGTCTTTAAGGGGCTGCTGGACTCTTGCTCTTTTCTACTGCTCCAGACAGACAAACACGGCGACCCATCTTGATCAATCAGTAGTTCCCAAAGCTCTATGATATTGACAGATATCATGAAGTCTGGAGAGAGAAGAGGAGGCATATGCAGTTGTCTCACAGAAGTCGCTTCAGTCACCATTTGTGGCAAATAAAACCAGGATGGGGCTTCATATTGTGTGCTTTCCTTCTATATCCACTTGCCTTTATGGAGTAGGAAGACGGGGTAAGGTAGTTGGCAGACTCTTTGGCTGAATAATAAACACCTGCATTGTAAGTAGCGTAGCCAGGATTGTAGCTATGTCATTCTTGTCTCACAAATGTCTCTGGGTACTTTTAAACAAGTCTCTGTGTTGGCATAGATGTGGATGCCTGATGTGGGTACTGATGAATCTCTAGGCTGCTCCTCTCAGTTCTTCCCTACTCTGTGAAAGGCAGGCTTGAGAGGTGGCTGTTGATGAAAGAGTTGGCTTAAATTTCTCTGCCAGGTGGATTTTTGATAGGCTGGCTTTAGCTGCATTTCCTTTGCCCTTGGGAACAATGGAAGGGTTGAAAATTAGGCCCACTTATTAAAAATGCTTTTAAAATACAGTGCTTTGACCTTCAGGTTCAGGTATTTTTACTGATGGAACAGGAACTCACAGCTGATGAAGATATCTCCAGGTAAGGACAATTTCCATTTGCTTGTTCGTCTACTTGTCCAGTAGCTTTCTGGCTTGAGCCCGCATCGCGGGGAGGGCGGGGTATAAATAGAATAAAATAAATAAATAATCTACAGATTGCTTTTGCCAGAGTCCATTTAGCTGTACAGCTATCCGTCTTGCCTCTCTGCACTCCTCTTTGTTCTTCACCAGACTGTCTCTGTACCCTGACTCTGCATCCCATCTGTTTTGCCAACAAGGCCGAACAGGGAGGCCCAATCTGACTCCCAGAAGTTGTGTGTGTGTGTGTGTGGGGGGGGGGGACACCTCTCTCATCCTGCTTTTACTATGATCCAAAACTCCAAGAAGGAAGAGCAGCAGTTTTGAGGGGCAGGGTTTCATGTATAAAAGCGCCTTGCTTCTTCATTGTATTTCAGGGTCTCAAGGCTGAGAAAACTGGCTTGTGAGCTGCCATTACCATCACTCATTTTTAAATGTCATTCTAACCACACCCACTGTTGGCTGGCTAATGCATCTTATGTGCTGATCATATTTTAGCACATCTGCAGGGCTGTGTGGGAATTTCTTTTAATATTATGGCAAGCCCTGGCCTGCATCAAATGTGTGACCCCTGCCCACTTCTTCCCTTTATCCACTTTTCAAAGTACCATGAATTCTAATACAGGTATAGACAATCTGAAATATGCTGTAGTGTTGTGGGTCTGAGAGGAAGGGTGATCTAAATTTGTAAGTACTATTAAAGCAGAATCATCCAAACAGAGACTAGAGTTACCAACTAGAGCTTTGCTAATGTAAGCACTTCTACAGTGCTTAGGAGGATAATGTGAACTACTTCATCATGCACAGTTAGTTTTAGATTACAAGGAAACTTCTCCAAGCATTTCTTTGTTGATTTATGAAGTGTAGACTTTTAAAAAAATTCTGTATTAATAGGAATTTTTTTCAAAATTTAGTTTATCTCATCACAGTGTAATATAAAAGCTATAATGTAGACGTGACTGTTAAATCAGTGAAATAAAATGATCCATATTTAGCAATAACTTGCAAATTCAAATTGTAGAACGTCAGGCCCATCTGTGGCTGGCCTGGAAACCACATACACGGGAGGCAATGGATTCTCGACATCCTATAACAGCCAGAGATGGTTAAACCTTTATTTATCAGCTTGTAAATTTCTGGATCTAGCCCTGGCATTGCCCTCTGAAAATCTTCCTCAGTTTCAGATGTAAGTACCTGGTTCTAGCTAAAATCCAAATGTGCTGTAGATGTCCTTCACCAAAAGAAAATTGCCATATTTACTGTGATGCTGTACTTTGGGCGGAATCTCTGTGGGTGCTCTCTCCTGCTCGGTGCTCTTGCGACAGTAAGACAACAGCACAGGGAGGTAAAACCCCCACCCCCATGGGGGGGGGAGAACCATCTTTAGCAGGTCCTAGCTCAGATTGGACTGTTGCAAAATAACATGGCGATAACAAGTGGATTATGATAGGGAGCAAGAGAGAGTTTAGAGTTGTCTCACAAACAGGGTGCTTCTATAGCAGGGGAGGACATAAACTATGCCACAAGCTTTCCTGGGTTTTGGCTTGTTGTATGGATAGTTGATCGTTTTATTATCTGCAAGTTAGAGACATGCATATTTAGATTCCCCTAAAACACACATCATTTTTATATAAATATCCCTGGGCCATTTGGAATAGCTGCAGATGATGGGAAGGTTTCAGCTCTGGTAAGTTTGCCCTGTTTTTTTCCCCCCCTTTCTTTCTTTTAACAGGTATCGTTGGGCATTTATTCCAGAAGTTTCAGATGACTCAGGGTTGGAGGTTCGAAGGCAAGGCACCCACCAAAGGGAATTTAAACCATATGTGGTACGATTAGCAAAACTACTGCGAAAAAGAGCCAAGGTATTGCATATATTTCTATCTCTGTGAATTGCATTCAGTATAGCTTGCATCAGTGATACATTAGGGAAAAATGCACATGTGAATGGGTACTGTTGTAATTTCCATTAAATTGAACTGGAGTAGCAAGTTAGATGCTTCCTACCTGATAAGGGGTATATAGCTGTTTAATCCTTTTTTATTCTATTACATTGTGGAATTCTACTGTTGCCCACTTGTGGTGGTTTCTTTACAAAAGTAAAATGGCACCCAATGGAAGGACTGCTGCAAGTTCAGTTAAAGATAACAGGTTTATGGGATTAAGTTTAATCCTGTGAAGTTTTAGAGAGTTAGGAGGTGTATCTCAGGCTTCTTAATGGTGAAAGACTTCCTGGCCAAATGTAGCACTGCTTGGTCTTGTAATGTGCTTTTTCCTTGTACTTATCACAGAAGAATCCAGAAGAGGACAGCTCAGGGAAAATGCTCCATTGGGACCCTGGTCACTTGCTCCTGACCACCTGTGCCATCCGCAGCATTGAGCAGCTTCTGCCTTTCTTCAATGTCCTGAGCCAAGTTTTTAACAGCAAAGTCACCAGCAGGAGCGCTGTACATTCGGGGAGCCCCATGTTTCACCCAACCTCATTCCCCAACAAGGACATCAAAATGGAGAACCAGAAGACATTCTCCAGTAAAGCAAGACAAAAAATTGAAGAGATGGTGGAGAAGGACTTTCTGGAAGGTGTCATAAAGACATAAGGCACCCAAAGCAAAATGTTCATCTTAAATGTAAGATATTTTCAGCTGAAACCACCCCATCCTTCCAGAGTGTATAGTTTCCTTTTTTCATACTTTGTATGTAATGTAAACTTCAGGATGTATTTAATTTAAATATCTGTAAATAAGTTCTGGATGTGGCCTGAATCAAGTTCAAATATCATTGGCTCATATTGATTATGGTGCCTAATATTTATGGAACATTTTGTTTTTGTCATCTTGAGTTCTGTTCAGAAAATCAACAATACAAGTTGCACACTTTTTTGAAGCTGTGTCAAGGCTTCTTTCATTTTGTAGATGACTACTTTTCTTAAATAGGGAGTGAAAGACCAGTGTGTTAATTAACGAACACCTGTTGTCCTTCATGATGCAGTGACTTAGATCTGCCCCTAGGGCCCAAACACTCACTCTTCTCATCACTTCTGCCACAGTGCCTGAAAGCTTCCAAAGGGACTCCATAACCTTTCCCCTCCAGTAGATGAGGGTCTTTAGGAAAAATGGGAGGCTTAAGTGCACCATATATCTTACAGCCTCCTTTCTGCCTTCAGGTCAAATTGTATGCACCCCTTATGGCATGGCCTGCATCGAAGTGTACAAGGTGGGGGACCTAAATCTTCCCTTTTCATCCAGCCAGGCCCTAAACATGTACTGGAGGCCAAACTCTTGTTCCCTAGTAAAATATATTTTAAATTAAAAGCATAACCCATATACTACAGAATATTATATTTTTGCATGAAAGTCCCCATGTTAAATAATATTATGACCACATCAGCTCAACTCAGCAGTCTCAGATTTTGGTACATTGTACCAATTTTTTTTGTAGAGCATGAAACATAATAGAGGTTGTGACCACCCATACAAGACTGTGTTGAGGATTCTGGGACAGGGGATGGCAATTCATGAAGACCAAGTAAAAAAGAGCAACAGCCAAACTAGTGGGGTTCTCCATGGGCAACAAGATTGAATATTGAAGGCCCAAGCTTAGAGTAGTAGAATTTACTATAATACTTTCTAAATCCACTGTGAAGAAAGTAAGCCTTTATGTTAGAGCAAAATCTGTCTTGTTGTGTAAAATGCACCAGTCTACCAAATAATCCATACACAAAGCAACCACTTCTAATGGGAGTTTTTAATCAAGTTGAGTTTTATTGTGAACTAGGAGCAATGCACATTGTATAGACAGAATACAATGGGCCCTAGGAAGACAGCCCCCCCATCCCCCCGCTTCCCCCCCTCCCCAGACCCCAGGGGTCAAGGGGCAATGCAAGGGCCCGGCCCTGGCTTTGTGCCCGCTGGCCCCCATCCGTTCACAGGCCAGGCGGGTACCTGCAGTCGGGCTTGGCCAACGATGTCTGCTGTGGCGCTGGCAGGATAGGGATCGGCCTGAGAAGCGGACGTCCACTGGAGCATCTGGGCCGGGTGCCAGCTGTGAGCAGACTGAGGCCGGGACGACGGCAACGCAGGCAGCCACGCAAGCCAGTGGGTAGAGACGCCATTTGAGCGACACACCAGCCGGTCAACTGATTTGGGAGCATGTTCAAGAGTCCACGACCAAAACAGCTTTATATATAAGGAGAGATTAAGTGTACATATGACAAAGGTACAGAAATAAGAAAAAATCAAGAGAGCACAGTTTACAGTCCATCTTGAAGAACAACAGTGGTGCCTTCAACCTACAGGCTTGGGTTCTTCTCCAACTCCTCCAGCTAAATGATAAACAGCCAAGCTGACTTCATATGCAAGGTTATCAGCATTCTCCTAAAAGTGAGAACAATTAAAACAGAACAAAGAGATTTTATTTGTCTCAGATCCTGAATTCATTAATGAAACTTCTGGAAAGCAACACAGAAGTTTCTCAAAGACTAAATAGGTAAAGTAAAGGGTATTTTAAGTCACTTGTAGCCAGAAATTAACTAGATGCAAGGTGGTTATTCCATTTTTACATACTATTTTTATAAACAAGCTGGCTACAGCAGAGGTTACAATAATAATCGGAGAAGGAATCTACAAGGGATTTTTTTACTTGGGAGACTTTCTGCATCAGAGCACTCAAAGAAGCTTTAATACTGTTGCAGGAAGAAAGATGTATGTTTATCACACTTGGTATACATGCCCAGTACACATGACAAATTCATCTGGGGAGAAAAGACTTATATCCCACTTTTCCCCCTGCCAAGCAGGGCTCAGGGTGGCTTCTAACAGTTAGTTGTACAATAAAATCAACATATTACACTTTTTAAAAACTTAACAATCAATCGATCTGCTATATCAGATGGCATCCCAACAATCCATCACAGGTAGGCAACTGGGAAGCAGTGAGCACAGAAAAATTCACAGTCCAACAGTAAATGAAAAAAACAAGCCCTAGAGAAGGAGGAAAAGGAAGGAGGGTAAGATCAAGATGGGAAGGGAAATGAAAAAACAACAAAAAGTGAAGGAAGAAAGAGGGAAGCCAACTGAGCTCTCTGTCACTGTCCTCAAACATCTGCCTGGTGGAACTGAGCCAAGTCCCACAGGGTACAAGTCTCACTAGACAAAGAATTCCACCAGGTTGGGGCCAGAGCCGAAAAGGCCCTCGTCGACGACAGCTGGACCGCTTTGGAGCCAGGAATTACCAATAAGTTGTCACCAGATGAGCATAGTGCTCTCTGGGGGGTATATAGGGAGAGGTGGTCCTGTAGATACAGTGCTCCCAAAAGTTTAGGGCTTTAAAGGTAAGTATCAGAACCGTGAACATGATTTGGTACTCAATCTGGAGCCAGTGCAGCTGGCAGAGCACAGGTTGTATAGGCGCTCTCAAAGGAGTCCCAGTGAGGACCCACGCGGCCACATTCTGGACCAGTTGAAGTTTCTGGAGCATGTTCAAGGGCAGCCTGGCACAGAGTGAGTTATAGTAGTCTACTCTAGAGGGGACCGTTGCATGGATCATTGTGGCCAGGTCAGCATGGGAAAGGTAAGGGATCAGTTACTCGGCTCGCCCTGCCCATATTTGTGACCTGAGCCTCCAACGAATGGGAGGCATCATTTATTTATTTATCTATTTATAGATAAATAGCTAACATCCAGGCACGCATGCCAAATACATAAAAACAAGATAAAACACATAAATTACAAATAAAGTGCTTCAAGATGGTTGCAGGTGGTAGTCTTCAGTTTAAAGATGGTATCCAAAGGATATTCAGTCAGATCCCAGCCCAGTGGTATTTGCACGCCATAGTGCTGCAGTTCAATCATCACAGGGCCATTCCCATACCCCGCTGTTTCCAACTCGGTGGTGGTGGTGGCAGCTCCTACTCGAAAGCCTGGCGGAAGAGCTCCATCTTGCAGGCCCTGTGGAACTGTACAAGGTCCTCTGGGAGCTCATTCCACGAGGTAGGAGCTGCCACCGAAAAGGCCCTGGCCCTGGTAACAGCAAGCCTGGCTTCCTTAGGGCCTGGAGTCACCAGCAGATGTTGCATCCCTGACCGTAGTGCCCTTTGGGGTATATATGGGGAAAGGCAGTCCCTCAGGTATGTTGGACCCTGGCCATATAGGGCTTTAAAGGTAAGAACCAGCACCTTGAAGCGAATCCGGTATGCTATCGGCAGCCAATGCAGTGCTTTCAGCACAGGACAGATGTGCTCCCATCTAGGGAGACACATCAGAAGCCTCGCTGCAGCATTCTGCACTAGCTGCAGCTTCCGGATTTATGACAAAGGCAGCCCCACATAGAGAGCGTTACAGTAGTCTAACCTCGAGGTGCCCGTCGCATGGATCACTGTGGCCAGGTCATCACGGTCAAGGAAAGGAACCAACTGCTGAGCCAGCCTAAGATGGTAGAAGGCCGACCTGGCAGTGGCTGCTATCTGGGCCTCCATAGTTAAAGAGGAATCCAGGAGCACTCCCAAATTCCTACCCTCCAATGCTGGCACCAGTGGCGCCCCATCAAAGGCCGGGAGAGGGACCCCCAACCCCAGACCAGCACAACTCAGGCCCAGGACCTCCGTCTTAGCCAGGTTTAGCTTCAGGCAGCTCAGCCTGAGCCACTCAGCCATAGCTTGCAATGCCTGGTGTAGATCTTCTGGGGTGGAGTCCGACCAGCTGCCCAGCATCAGATAGAGCTGGGTGTCACCTGCATATTGATGGCACCCGAACCCATACCTCCGGGCAATCTGGGCAAGGGGGCACATATAGATATTAAACAACATCGGGGAAAGCACCGCCCCCGGAGGCACCCCGCATTCAAGCGAGTGTCTCCGGGACTGCTGTTCCCCTAGCGCCACCCTTTGTCCCCGACCCTGGAGAAAAGAGGCGAGCCATTGAAGGGCAAGCCCCTGTATCCCCACATCAGCGAGGCGGCGGGTCAGCAACTGGTGGCCGACCGTGTCAAACGCGGCCAACAGATCTAACAACAACAGTGCCGCCACGCCGCCTCGATCCAGATGTCTCTGGAGGTCGTCAGTCAAGGCGACCAGCGCAGTCTCCACCCCATATCCCGGGCGAAAGCCGGACTGGAAAGGGTCTAGGACGGAAGCATAATCCAGAAAGCTCTGCAGCTGTATTGCCACCACTCTCTCTATAAGTTTACCCAGATAGGGCAAATTTGACACCGGCCGATAGTTGGCCAATTCAGCCGGGTCTAAATTTGTTTTTTTCAGAAGAGGACGAACCATTGCTTCCTTGAGTGCCCTCGGGAACTGCCCCTCAGAGAGGGACATGTTGAACATCCAGGACTACGCCCAAACTTCTGACGGAGAGAGCTGGTACTAGCTGTACTCCGTCAAGAGTGGGGAGCTGAATTCCCTGACCCAGCTCCACACACACACCCCGGCCTAGCCACAGGACCTCTGTCTTTGATGGGCTCAGCTTCAGATGGCTCTAAACTAATAATCCTGGAAAGCCACAAATGAGTGTTAGGGGACAGATGAAAGGAGAGAAGCCCTTCCCTTCATGTAAAATGCATACATGTTTATCCAAAGGGCACACGAAGAGACCTTTTCCTCAGCCATTTGTCTCCCCCCCCCCATTAGCCTTCCAAACCCAGAGGAGAGGCAGAACTCTACAAGAGCACAAGCCACAGAACTATATTCATGACCTAAACTAAGAAGTCCGGGAGAGAATGGGAAACAGAATGGTAATGGCTGAAGGAAGGTGTAGATGACAGACATAGGAGAGTGGACTGAGCCCACCAGTTGTTGAACCTGAGTGCATATAAATGGAATAAGAGTTGCAAAAGGAGAAAACTACACAGGAGTCTACTGCAGACATTCAACATTCTTCCTGATCCCAGTGCCCTAAGGGGATGAAGGGCTCCAGTACTGACCTGCATGTCTGCTTCAGCGTAGACTCTGACTACATCTTCTGTTCCAGAGGGGCGAACAAAAGCTCGAGCCCATTTATTCTTCTTCACAAGGGCATTGATTTTCTCTTGCAGCCCTGGGGGGGTAATTGCCTGTCTTTCAGCATCTGTAGTGTCAATCACTCGTCTGTCAGCAACCTACAAAATGCCAAGGCAGAGTAAAGAAAACGATGTGTTACAGCTCTAAATGAGACCTAAGGATTTTGCAGCCACTACAGCAGGAAAGAGAAGAGAATGGCCCTATTCTAAGAGGCAGACTCATTCAGCAGGGAAGGAGGATTCAGATGTAAAGACCTCATGGCAAGACATTTGGAGACTATCAAATCCTGCAGGACTCTCCACTGTGCTCTTCATCAGCTAGCTCTTCACCGTGCTCTAGCCCTGACCCATATTTCCCATCCCTTCATTGCCTTTGCTGAAACAAGAAGGCTATTCCCCTCTGACCTTGTTCATCTGCCATCCTCCAGGTCAAGCTCTCATAAGTGAACCTGCACAGCAACAATTTCTATGGGAATATCCTAGACCTATTCAGAACCATCTGCAGTTTCTGCAAAAATCACACAGACAGGGGTATACTTGCAAAGGTGATCAAACAGGACAGGAAAAAATCTAAAGCTACTTTTCAAGCAAAAGGGAAAAAAGCTGATACACACACAGCTGGGGGAGTGGGAGGCACCAAGGGAAAAATACAGGAAGATCATCTACTGCACCTCCCATGGCTGAATCAGTGATTCCTACAGAAATACAATTTAGGCCCTAGGCTCATCATCCTAATGATTGTTTTCGGAAGTCCTTCTAGAAAAAATTATTAGGATGTTTGGCTGCAGAGTGTGTTGCTATCAATGTTCATGGTTAAAAGTGTAAAAGAAATGATATGCTGAGCCATATGCCCAGCCATGAGGACAAAAAGCCCCCTCTTCCTAGCTAAGCCATTCTGTGCAGGGAAGTCACTAGCTGTGCCTTTCAGAGATGCAAAGCTATCACCAACAAAGCCAGATCAACTGCCAAACAACAAGGTGCCAACTAATGAGGAGCAAGTCGGGGAGCAAAAAGTCTTACCACAGACACAATGATCACAAGTCTCCGTCATTCTGTAAAGGGTAAACTCTGGGCAGTCATGACACAGATTTATTTATCTAGAAAATTTATATGCTACCTCTCTGGAGACCTGTCCAGTTGGGACCATGTGAGGAGGATCCAATGTAACCTTTCAATCCCTTGTTCAGTTTTCCTAATCAAAACCACATGCCCCACACTACTAACATTTTTAAAGGGGGGGGGGGAAGACATGTCTTCTTTTTTGTTTTAGGGTAGCTTGAAGCAGCAGGGGAATTGCAGTTTCAATTAGCAAAACTGAACAGACAGATGAAGGGTTCATCCCCTGTACAGTTGCAATCCAAAACAAGGCTGATGGAGATCGATGATCATTGTCCTGCCCACTTTGGCCCTAAAGCCAGTGTGGGTTTTGTCTACCTCCTAGGAACAGAAAATGCTCCAGCATCTCAACTGCTGGCCAGCAAACAAAGGAACAGTCAGGAAAGAGAGCCTTCTCATCTGTACTGTACTGCTTCAACGTGCAACCCAGAAATCTAGCAAGTCAGCAGTAAATCCCCAAGATGACCCTATGCTGTAACTGAAAGCTTTCTTGAACACTGCTGGCCTCCTGCTCACCTTCACTTTGAGTTGCCGGTTTGGAAGGTCTGTGTATATGGCATCCCACTGTTGTACTGTGAAGTTCTTCAAAGCCAAGATGGCTTCAATCACTAACATGTCTGAGATGGCATCTCCAACTGCCTAGTACATAAAAAGAAACACAGGGAAGGAAAGTAGCGCAGTGGACACAGCATTAACATTAGCTGCTCATCCAGTTTGTCACAGTTCAATATATTTAAAAGCTGTCTCCTCACAGGGCTATTGTTCCATTTGCAAGCCTATCAACAACTTTCTTAGCAAAGGATTCTGCTTGGCTATACCAAAGATTCTTAACATGAGGATGTGGGCTATTTCAGAACTAACTGACAACTGGAACAGAAGCTGCAGCATCTGAATGCTAAGTACTAAGTCTACAAAAGAGGCCACCTATCAATTAACTGAAGCTGAAATATTTTACACAGTGTAGAAAAGAGGCGAGCCATTAAAGTGATCTTTGTTTCAGATATCGTTACACTCACTCCTAGCTTCCCATCCAAACTTTGCAGTGATGCAGTTGCTTGGATTGTGCCTGGCAATCTGTCTAAGACAGAACCCAGTTCCAGTAGGGAAATCCACACACAGTCCAAATGCACTTCTACTCACCTTCTCTGTGCTACAACTCTCAAAGGAGCACGTTTCAGTCAACCACTTTATGTAAAACAGGCTCACTTGAAGCAGCCAGATGTGAACCTTTTCCAGCCCCCATCAGGTACGGTTTTGCAAATGTTGCTTGACTGAAACATGAGCGCATGTATCCCAGACCTTACTTTAAATGGGAGGGCTTATTACCTGGGAGTGACAGAGCAGAAACTCCCCCCCCCCCCGGCCATCATTAGGAATAAGAGCTACTCAGCCTCTTAGGAATTAAATTCACATGATGGGATGAGTGCCATTGACACCTAAGACTCTGAAGAGCTACTGCTAGTCTGAGTAGACAATGCCGGCCTTGATGGACCAAGGGTCTAATTCAGGGTAAGGCAGCTTCAAGTGTTCATTCATGAACTCAAAACAAAAGCACAATTTTTGTAATACTTTCAAGTTACGTGTTTCTTTAAATGGTTGGTAAGTGTCAGAATAACAAGGGGGTGAAAGAGGGAGATGAGTGAGGTGATTGGTTAGTGACAGAGTGTGTGGGCGGAGCTAGGAAGTGTGTGTTTGGAGAGAGAGAAGGCAGAGTGTTCAGCTTCAAGTCTGAAGTCAGTAGCTGTCAGTTATGGTCAACCTACACAGAGTCTGAGAGGCAGTCTTCTAACGAGAATCATATAGAGGTACTGTGAAAGGCATTAAGATTCTAAAGGAAAAAGAAAAGTACTTCAGGCAAAATCTAATATTGTCAGACTATTTTTTTTTTTTTTTTGGATTTGATGTAGTAAATTTTTTTTTTAAATTTTTTATTATAAGAGTGTGAGGGGAAAAGCTAACAGAGACCTGAGTAAAAGGGAAAGATTTTACTGAGCAACTTAACAAAACATCTTGTAACCAATATGCTTCTTTCACCAATAAAGTCTTAGCTCAACTGGCTCAACGTGCACCACCTTTTCCAGTTTGGTATATTACACAATGCAGACATGTCCTGGATTATTATAACCCACCAAATCTCTGCCTGCTGCATCCAATTCAATACACAGACATTTGGCAGCACCTCTGAAAACCTTAATGCTAGGAATATGGATGCAGAACTGAAGTGTACATTGGAGTTTTTACCTGATTTATCAAATCAATCATATTTTCAAGCATCTTTGCAGCTTCTCTTTTTCGGTTGTCTTTTTCATTTTCTGCCTGATGTCTTATTTTCTCTTCCGCGGTTTTACTGAATAATACCTAGAGGAAAAGCAAAGCAGCAGCATATAAGGTATCTTGAAGAGTTGAAATGTGGCCAGAACTAGCATTTGCACTTTATGAGGAGAAATGGGTCTCATCCTTTAAAAACATCACTGCTATTAGTTATAATGCTCTTGCATCCCAGTCAAAACCTGCAAATCTTCCAGGATTACCAGTGCTCTTCTTACACCAATCTCCTATCCACCTTTTGAATTATCAACAAAAATTTAACTAGTTCTAGGGTTGTTAACCCAAATACCATGTATTATAAAGCAGGAAGAGATAAACCTGACAGCAGCCTCTAAAAAGAAAAGATTCGGAAACATGGTACAGGTATGATGAGGCGAAAAGTGACTCTCTGTTAATAAAGGTATTTATGAAATTAGCTACTTCAGGCTATCCTGTCTAGGTATAAAACTGGCAGGAAAAGACAGATGAAGAGGCCTTATGAGCCACAATACCTACAGTGCCGTGACCATTTGCTTCAAAGTAAACTCCAACATCAAACGCCTGGGCCTTGTGATGCAAGTGCTTCACTCCTGTTTTGGCACAGTGGACAGGCACCTAGGATAGAAAGATGGAATAAACAATCCACAGCATGGCTACAGCCTCATAATTCTGGGTGCAGGTGGCTAGCACTCACCTTATATCAATGACAGAACCCTATTCTTGACCATACAACCTGTAGCGCCAGTACAACTGACAGAATGTCAGATTCAAAAACCATATATGTATGCAGGGCAGGTTCTTTCACAAAATGAAAAGCATCCTAGGCTTTAAAACAGGGGTGTCAAACATGCGGTTGGAGGGCTCGATCAGGCCCTCGGAGGGCTGAAATCTAGCCCACAAGGCCCTGGCTGTTTCCTGCTTCCTTTTCCAGTTCTGCTGCTGCTGCCACATCACAGCTTGCTTTACCAGACTCAATCACACAGGAGAGATAGGCAAGCCTCTCCTGTGCTATTGAGAGAGTCTGGTGAAGAACTGGCTGAGGCTCCTCCCCCTTATCCTCCCAGGGGGAGGGAGTGAACTGGCCAGGCTACCTCAATCCTACAGGAGACAAAGGGAAGCCTTTCTTCCCTTCCACTGCCTGAGGCGCCTCCCTGAAGGAAGGGAGGGAACAAGGGAGAGCTTGCTTTGCTGGGCTGCCTCAATCACACGGGAAAAATACTAGGCACCTTTAAGACCAACAAAGTTTTGTTCAAGGTATGAGCTTTAGTGTGCCTTGCTACAGTGTGTGTGTATTTTGTTGGGCTCCTTATGCCAGGCTCTCCTAGGTGCAACTGGGTTCTCTCCCCCTTTTCACTGTATTCATGCTCTCATGATCTAGTCTCTCTCAGTAAGAAAGCAATGTGAACTATTTTACAGGAGGATAACAAGCCAGTGAGGTGGATTAGGCTGAGAGTGTGTGTCCAGGCCAAGTTCACCCAGCAAATTTCCTTTGTTGGAAGTTGTAGTTATTTCTCTGGGGAAGACGTTTTGTAGACAAACACATAGCCCTCAGTCTGTACCAGGATGCCTTCTCATGTTACTGACCAGCATAGGAAGCAACAAAAGCTCGCAATGCCCAGCCATTTCATATTTTCCTGTGTCCTAGGCTGAGAACACTGAGCATGAGATTTCTGCTATGAATGTCAATAAATCAAAACTAGGTTTGCAGCTTACAGATACACACCTGAACAGCATACTCAAGATTGCTACAGCACAGACATTTTGATGCAATAATTCAGTGCAAGAGGTATCAGTTATCAGAGACAGATAGACATGTTGCAAGAGTGCTAGTGTTTTAAGCACGTTTTGTTTAAAGTTTAAAAAACCTTTAATTGTGTTTGTCTGTGTCCTTTATAAAGTTTATATCTCCACTACCTGACATTACATTTTATGACACACATGGCCCTGCCCAACAGAGTCTCATTTATGTCAGAGCCAGCCCTCATAACAAATGAGTTTGACAGGTCTGCTTTAAAACATGAGAGCTGGGGTTAATTCTGATTTGAAAATCTTAACCACTGATGTAGAAAAGCTAAACTTAGTAGGCTCTACTTATCCATCTATGACACGGTATGCAATTTTTGGTCTCCAGAAGAATCACCTGAGCCATTACCGTTTTGTGAATTATTTTTTCCATCAATTATGATTAGGGTTGGATTGTTTTTCACTGTGTTTTTAAGTGAATTGACATACAATAGTTAACCTAGTACCTTCATGTTTTCTTCCAAGTAACGTGTAGAACTCCCATTGGCATATGCTGTTTGTATTACAGCCAATGTTAAAGTTTGCCCAGTCTGAAAGAATGAAGGAATACAGTTTTCATATTAACACAAGAACAAAGTAGCATTGCTTTGGGAATATATGTATTCCAGTTTACAAACACATGGTGACATTTCATATTGCGTAAGACTGTCCTTCACCTAAACTTACAGAACTTGTACAAAACTGAAAGCAAGAAAATAACTATACAGGCAAAGGCCAGCAGTGTACCTTTATTATCAACTCTTATCCTACAATTCACCTTTGCAAAAAGCCAAGCAGCGAACACATTTCTTCTTCTCCCAACAGCTCTGTTTTTTAGCCATTGTCAAGACTGTGTCAGGGCAAGGGGAGGATCATCTCATCACAACAGCAGAGAAGAGGTGGGAATGGAAGAGCCTCCATTTAGTTTTGCTGCAGCCATTCCCAATGCTGAAGAGGCAAGTCACTCTCACATCCAATGAGGGATTGCATCTTCAGCTGCTGCAACTCTAACTGCACCACTCTCCCCATGAACACACATCATTTTTCAATCCCATCCAGAAGACCCTTTGGCTGGAGGGCCTGGTTTTGCTCAACGGTAAAGCATCTGCTTTGCCTAGGGAAGGCAGCAGGTTCAATCTCTGACCCCTCCGTTTGAAAAGTATCTGGTAGTAATGATGTTAAAAGATATGCACTACAGACCCTGAGGAGCTACTACCAGTCAGAGCAGACAATATTGATCTTGAAAGACCACTATAAGGCAACTTCACATGGGGAGAAAATGAAAATACATCTTATACAACATCTGAGAATAGCATTTCCTTTGTACACATTACCAGTAATCTAAGTAGATGCTTCCACCATTTTGCTTGAATACTAGAGATAAGGTTGAATCCATCTAGGTTTCTGTGAGGGCAAGAGGAGGAGGATTTTCACCCACTCCCTATGCAGGAGACCACCAACTGTCTCTCCCCCACCCCCATACTTGGGAGTCCCCTGGCACCTAGCAGCAGCATTTCAGGGGGCACATCTAGGTCCAACGCAACCCATATCTGAAAACATGGACCTGACTAGTTCTCGTTATGGCATTCTATTTGCCACTCTTCCTCTGTATAAAGGTATACCAAATGTGCCTCGCTGTACATCAGTCAACATTTACCCTTTAACCATATAACAGATAAGAGCAATTACCTTCACCAGAAGTTCTTTAAGGAAGGTACTGATCAGAGTTGCTATTTTATCTCCATCTAGAAGGTGGAAACGGCCAGCAGTATCCATATAGTAGTAGACTATTCGGTCAGCATCACCATCAAATGAGCAGCATCTTTCACCAGTCTTCATTTCCAGGCCTTACAAGCAGGGAGACAAAACAGAATTATTCAGAACTAAGAACTCTGATCTAAAAGTTCTGTGAGAGTAGATGGGAGTAAGTTGACAGAATTATGATATACACTTTTAACTGCATACCCACAGGAGGTTTTTGATGCACTTTCACAAAATCAGCTCCACATAAGTGATTGAGTTTGCCTTTCGATCCATCATTGTCTATGTGTATCCTAAGGCATCCTGGAAGGTAGTGTTCCAGTTCTTTGAGTTTCAGAGCCCCTATACCATTGGCACAATCTACCTTCAAACACACATGACCATCCCTTTGGCTGACAGCCTGCAAGAAAGAAAAACACAAAAAAGGCCCTCAGGACAGCTCTAGCTAAACCCCTTCCAGCTGCTCACAAGCAATGTTGTCAGTGTTGTGAAGCAAAGAGCCCCCTGCCATAAAGTTATGAATCCATTTGGTTATGTTACATGAAGTAGCAAGTGATTGATCATAGCCATGTTTATTCAGGGACAAGTCTCATGGTCTTCAATTGGACTCTTATTCCACCTCTCTTCGTGAAACTAGAGTAATTTCTCAGAGTTTATACACATAAGAAAATAAAAGTTGTCACAGTTTTCAGATCAAGACATAATGGGTTGATAGCAGCAGGATGGAAAGATGCAAGCAAATGGACAGAGAGAAACTGGCTTAACTATGTGTTTGAAATTATTCAGGCAGAGATAATCTCCGAAATCAACCAAGACAAGCCATGGGAAGAAAAAACAGCAACAATCCAAGAGAAATGGGCCATATACTGGAGATGGATGGAAGAAGAACAAAGGAACGACGTTCAGTGGAAGCTTCAAACACTATGCCCCTGGCTGAGAGAAAAGGACTAAAAACAATAGACTGGAGGGAGGGGGGGAGGATGGGGGAAAATGTTAGAAAATGATGGAATACGAAAATGTATAATCAGAATGAAAATAATAAGAATAATAAAAATATTTTTTTAAAAAAGACATAATGGGTTGGATCCAGAATGGGAGGGCGGGATAGAAATATAATAAAATAAATAAAATAAACATGTCCACAGTTGCAAGGGCTTCTGCCCATGGAGGACAACCCTTTCAGCTCCATCTCCCGCGACAGCCCAAAATACATTGAACACCCTGTCCCCAGGAACAGCATGAAGGGAAGATGAGAGGTCTGCCCCAGAGGGGAAAATCAGAAAAAACGCTGCCTCCCCCCATCAGCAGAATTTTCCACTGGAACCAACCCATTACATAGGACTCCAGAATGAAAAATTGTTTAAGCAAAAATATCTAGCTTGTATCCTAAAACATAAGCAATGGTGGGCTTACTTATTAGGAAGATCTAAATAAATTAATCCTCATGGCTATAGAGGCACCCATTCCCTTTTGCACTGCTAAAACTTCGCAGGGAGCTGGCATTAGAAGCAGAACTCACATGAGGTTCCTAATGGGAAGGAGATCACGTAGACAGAAAAGCCATTTATTTATTTATTTCACACATTTTTATCCTCTAAAGGCTTCTAAGTATAGGTCCAGTTGCAACCCCAAAACATCCAAAATGCAAGGTTCTTTCACCTGTTTAGTAAGCTCTGTAAAAGCCTTGGATAGCTTTTGGTAGTAGCCTTCCACTGTTGCTGTCCCATAGTTCCCATGAGTATTTCGGCAGCAAACCATGTAATGTAGCTGTGGTGTTGTCACTAAGCCATAGTCTAGTAAAATAAAGTCACAATTGTCAAAGTTGACACTATTCTGCATTAGAGACACAATGTGTATGAGAGCATTAAATACAAAAAAGGAACTCCCATCAAGACTGAGGGGTTTTTTTTAGCTGAGCATTGAGAACATACCATGGTATTGTCCTCCAAGGGCAGACACACCGTCAACTACTGACTCAGAAAGCTTCTTGCTGCTAGATCTGGAAGAAAGAGACAGAAATGAGGTTACTTTTGTTGCAACATCACATAACGATACAACCAATGCTTCAACTAATTTGATTTTATTTGAAACTGTATTTCGATAAAAGGTCAGCTCCAGAGAATCAGCAAATAATAAAATGTATGCAGTGTGGCAAACATAAACAATGAACACAGATTAAGAAGGGAGACAAGAAAAGTAAAACCCTCCTCTGACAGGCAAAGTTTCTGGGGTGCAATCAGCCGCTTGCATATCCCGCACACCCATAGGCAAAATCCTCACATCTCCCTTATAAATAAAAGCCAAATGGTGGTAGCACTTCTCTAGAACATTCCACATGCTCCAAAATCAGTTCGCTCTCTGATCTGTCTATCAGAGGGTCTCCCTATCCACTGGCTGCTTTGCCTGAGTCCTGCCTCCAACAGTCTAAACATTTTGCTGTTCCTCCCCCCCCCCATAGCCAATCAGAACACAGAGGTTATTTGCATATGAAGCCTCATTGGCCTTTGCCTCGGAACACAGAGGTCGTTTGCATATGCGACTTGATTGGCTTTTGTGTCTAACATTGTAAACAGTTTGCTGTTTTGAGGTAAAATGTGTCCAATCTCCAGGTGAGAGCTGGAGATCACTCCCAAACAAACATGAAAATATTTGACATATGGTACCAAATGTAACAGACAACTCTCTAACAGAAGTTGTGAAGGAAGAGATCACAAGCACCTCCTGTTCCTACTGGTTAGCCCTCCGGGAGACTAAAAAACCACACAGCCATCTTAATCAGCTTAATCAGCCATCACACAGCTTAATAAGTGAATACAAATATTACATGTTGTGCTCAAGCATTTCTGGCTGAGCAAAGGACCAAAGAAAATGTCCCTTTTTCCTACACTAGATACTTCTAGTGTACCTACTTCTAGGTACTTTCCTACACTAGGTACTTCCTACACATGGTCCCTTTTTCCTACACTAGGTACTTCTTTAAATTTTTTAATTAGGATAGGCTAGCTATACTTGAAATTTTTGTTGTTCAGTCGCACAGTCCGACTCTTCTTTCTACTTTCTACTTGAAATTGCAGTAGTTTAAAGTTCAGCATTACCTTACCTTAGATCTTGTGGCTGGGATTTCTCTTCATTGTCCCTTGCCACGTGAACAAGTTGGAGTTCCTTAGTAAAAATATAGTTCTCCATGGCATGCACCCATCCAAAGGGCTTCCCCCAAAGGGAACAGAGCTTCTTCCTGGTGTCCTGAAAATTTATGATCTACCTCAAGGAGTCTGACCCACCTAGGGGTCATTTGGACCTCCCTGTCCCAAAAGGAAAAGTTTGGCTATTTGGCTGTTAGCAGTTTCTGTCCCTTTCGGGTGTGAATTGCAAGCCAGGTATGAGGGAATTAGCCATTGTCCTACTTCAACCAGACTCATTAGCATAACCAAGAGCTTGAGCGCTCTCTTATTGGAGTGTGATGACTCCTTTCCTCATCCCCCTCTTTTCTGAAAGCTACTAGCCTGCAGCTGAGCAGCCCTAACAGCCCAGACTAACTGGATCTCTGCAGAGCTCAGAAGCTAAGCGGGCTTAGTACTTGGATGGGAGGCCACCAAGGGAGACTGGGGCTGCTCTGGAGAGGACAGTGGCAAACCACCACTGCCCCTCTCTTGCCTTGAAAACCCCCATCAGGCGGCATTTCATGGAGTCGTCATGAGTCAATTGCAACTCAATGGCTTAGTTTAATTTGCATGCAGCTGTCCTCCTGTACATGGACAGAGAGCAGTCACAATAACTAAAATAGTGGGGTTGAAGGCTGAAGGGCATTGCTCCACAGAAGGGAATGCAAGGGGAAAGAATGTGAAGCCCACAGAATGTTTCATCTAATAAAGACCTTTCTGGCAAGGATAGGCACTACTCAATTTCTACATTACCTATTTCCCCCAAAAATGTTTACCAGGTTTATAGCTACCTAGTGTCTCTGCCAATAACAACAAAGGCATTGTGCTGAAGGTCCACTGCTTCCTTCTGGCAAATATCAGACAGCACAATCTGCAGTTCAGGATCTTCTGCATTGGCCAAGTACGTTGCATGTTTTTCCCAGGAAGGTGCCAACATTTCACCCAAAGGATCAATCAACTTCACACCATTGTCTTCCTTGGGAGAACATAAGACATCATTACCACATATATGTAGGTAGGTAGAAAATTTATTGTATATGGCCATAGGCCTTTACAATCGAGAGTCGTTAGAAATAAAATGCACTTACAGATGTAACAATAAAGTACTTCACTAAAATATAGCAATATAATACATAGTATCTAAAAGCATTTATAATGATGTATACTTAAAATTGAACAATAAAATACATCAAACTAACTAGCAGCAGCTGTATCAATTGTTATTTTCCTAGTTACTACATTTGCTCTTATTTTTTTAGCAGCTAGAGCAAAAAGTCCTATCCTGTTGGAAACAAAAGAATCTGTATCTGACAACATAAAAATTAGTTTATCAGTCAGAAAGAAGGTGGAGACCAGACAATATGTTGGCGAGAAATTTTCCTCTTGGTATATGGGACAATTTAGAACGTAATGTGGCAGGTCCTTGATCGAGGATCCACAGATACATATACGCTGGTCTACAGGTTTTTTCTGGAATCGTCCGAGCAGCATCTCAGTTGTCAATGACTGAAAACGTAATGAGAATGCTGCCCTGAGCTTATAAATTGTAACTTCCGTCAAATAACGCGCTCTAAGATGATCTTTTTTGATGGTTTTGTACCATGGAGCAAATTTTGATTTACTGATTAAAAATTTGTCAATTAGGGCATCTTCTTTATAAATCCATTCCCTTAGATTGACATTGCTTCCCGCAGATTGCAATAATTCGTCTGAAATAGTATATTGGGCTGCAATGTTATTAAGGAAGGCCTGCTGGGTTTTGTCCTTATTTTGCATCAATTGATAGCTCAAATTGCTGAAGGAACCAGGGTTTATTGGCTGATGTTTTTCCCGCAATTTAAGAATCGTCAAATGAGCGTGTGCTCTAATCGAAGGGACGCCAAGTTCTGTCCTTAACAAGGCTGCTGGTGTCCCTTTTGGTAGGGCTAAGACACATCTCATTAAAAAGTTTTAGACTATCTCCAAATCACTAAGTATCGATTCTTTCCAACCCCAGATCTCAATTCCATACAGCAAACGGGCGATCACTTTACAAACAAAAAGCTTCAGAGCCGGTGCAATCAAAAAACCACCTCTAGTGCAGTAAAATCTCATTATTGCTCCTGTTGTCTTGAGCTCTGAAGTTTTTATAAGCTTTAAATGGGCATCCCATTTTAAGGTCTCACTAAAAGTTAGACCTAAATACTTGTAGTTCTTGCACTGTTCAATAGATATGCCTTATATACTCCAGTGGTATTTTTTTGGTCTCTTCCGAAATACCATTGTTTTTGTATAGTTAATTATTAGTTTTTCCTCTCTACAGTAATCACCCAGGCTGTCTAACAATCTCTATAAACCATTTCTTGTTAGTGAAATTAGGACCATATCGTCCGCATACAACACTGACACTTTCTGGTGGCCTAAAGTCAGCACAACGAATTCTGGTCTGGATAACTTCGTGACAATGTCATTTATATAAAGGTTAAAGAGTAATGGGGCTTGGACACACCCTTGCTTTACTCCCTTCTCTTTTGGAATTTCCTTAGTCAATGATCCCAATATGCCCACTCTGATTCTTGCAACTGTATCTGAGTAAAGCTCACGTATAAGGAGCAGTACTCTCTAATCAAAGTTGGTCTGGGCGAGCTTCTCCCAAAGCCGGCCTCTGTCTATTGAGTCAAAAGCTGTGGCCAGGCCGACAAATGCCACATACAGAGCTTTGGTTGGGCCATTTATGCCTGAATAAACCAGCTGGAGGAGTGTTTGACAGTGATCTGTCGTACACTGGCCTCTTCTGAAACCCGCCTGAGGGTATAATATATTGTTGTCCCTTACCCAGTCCTCCAGTTTTTAGAGTAGGTATTTACCATATAATTTAGAAACTGTATCTAAAAGGCTAATGGGCTGGTAATTATTTGGATCTGATTTATCTCCCTTTTTATAAATAGGGACAACTATGCTAGTTTTCCATCCCACTGGAAAAACCCCTGTGTTGTTTATCTGGGTAAATAATTTTGCAAGTATCGGAGACCTCCAGCTAGAAAATGTTTTGATCAGATCTGCTGGAATCAAGTCTTCCCCTGGAGATTTGCCTGAAGCTAGATAAATTATGAGATTATCAGCTTCAGACATTGTTACTGCGGGCCATTCCAGTAACGTATGCTCTTCTGTGGCTAAAGGCCGATTCCTTGTCTTCTGCTTGGCTAGGTGTGATGAAAATTCAAATATTTTTGTAAAATGTTTGTACCTAACTTTCCCAGTTATTTGAGCCTCTATTTGGTAGAGAGACCTGCCCATGCCCAATGAGACTAGCTCCCAAAAACGGGATTCTTTCTTTTCGGAGGCAGCCTGGGCCAGCTCATTCCATAATTGCTTGGCATGAGCATCCTTCTTAATTTGGCTAGATGTTGTAGTCTGGAGGCTTCCTTGCTACACCATGTAATTTTTATGAATTTAGATATTTTTGCTTTAAGTGCCCTGCATTCCTGGTCAAACCAAGTATTACTGGAGTAAGTTGTTGGTTTGAGAATTTGCTGTTGATAAGCAGGGGTTTAAGAGATTGGATTATCTCTTCATAATGGCAAATCGTATTCAGATCTGTGGTAAGTAAGGCTTGTCGTTCTAATTCTAGATTAAAGCACTTTAGAGCTATTGCTACATCATTTTGTAGCTGCTCCGACCACCGGCGTCTGCTGATAGCGGGTAGCAAATCTTTGTTATTTTCAGATATCGATCTTAAAAAGATTCTGTTGGTAAAATTTAACACTAACTTTAATGGGAAATGATCACCTGCTATACTTTCACCTACTTCGAAATAGTACACTTGATCTAGTAGAGTTGGAGAAAGGGCTATGTAATCAATTGTGCTAGCATAAGATGACGTTGAGTAAGTATAGGTGCCTCTTGATTTATCTAGTTTTGTTCTGTGTAAAATATACAGATTAAATGCAGCTATCCACTCAAGGAATTTTAGGCCAAGCGTATTAATTACAGGATCTAATGAGCAACGCATCAGAAGAGAAGTATGTTCGGCAATCTGGGCATATAGGCCCTGCTGAGTCTCATACCTACCCGGCCCGATTCTAGCATTAAAAGCTTAGTAACCAAAGCCCATAAAAATCTGTTGACAGATTACAAATAATTAAGGGGAATCCAAAACAGGAGATGGAAAACTTCCATCCCTCGATAGGAACGTTTAAAACAGAGGAAATGTAGGATTTAAGTAGCACACTAGAAAAAAATCTCCTGGGTACACTTAAGTGCTACTGAAAATCATGGGATTTAAGCCCTTGTGTGGTTAACATTGCAGCCTATATCTACTGACTTCAGTGGTTTTAGACTGGAATAACTGGGCAAAAGTTTACACTGTAAATCATGTGAAATCTAAACATCTCTGGGTCCTGAAACATTAGATCAGTTCACCAATAAAATAAGCTGCCTAAAGAGGTTCCACAGAGGCATTGATGAAAACAGAGATTTAAGGCATAGCTAAACTGATTTAAAGCAAAGGTTGCCCTAGAATGGCCCACCTTCCAGTTCTATGAGTCTCAAAACAGGCAAGAGTATAGCTACAGAACCCATGCAGCCTCCCATTAATGAATTATTCCCATTAATGAATAACTTAACCCCTCTGTCCCTTATCTGAACTGCTCATTCACTTACTTCTGGATTGTGAGAGGCTGTAACCATTACTCCAATTGTGGCTCTTGTCTGCTTGGACCTCAATACGGCCAGCAAGCCCATGCGAAACATGGTATGGTTGAGGTTCTCTGCCTTGGTACGGAATCCAGCTGTTCCATATTGAGAGGAAAGCCCAAGAGGCTTCGCATGAAGTGCTGAGTACTTTGTAACAGTATCAAAGTCCATTACTGAAAAGAAGGGAAAACTGTAGTAGTACTGTAAGCATTCAAGATGGGCATGTAGTAAATAACTCGGAAACCTAAAAGAAGAACAATACTTCACTTATACCAGAATCAATTCTTCGATTTACATAAGATGTAGACACACTTAAAACGAGTAGATGGAGAAGGGGCTTACACCTATTTGTTCACGGAACCAGACTAAATTATTCTCAGACTAGTTAAAGAGCCAGAAACATTAACACAAGGAACTCGATTCTTTCAACCATCAGCTGGCACAGGACAAGGTGTTGCAGTTCTGTTAGCTAGTTCAACCGTAAACTGTGCCTTTAGTTCCTGTCCCACGCCCTAATGAGGCATGTTATCTGCAATGTTCCCTCTAAGCTGAGTTAGTGTGAGCTAGCTCACAGTTTTTTAGCCTCCGGCTCACACATTTTTGTCTTAGCTCGGGAAGGATGGCTCCAGAGCAAACTAATTTATGCCGGAGCCAAATCGCTCGCTCACAACTTTAATGCCGGTAGCTCACAAAGTAGAATTTTTGCTCACAAGACTCCACAGCTTACAGGGAACATTGGTTATCTGGGCACTGAACTGGGTAAACTACTGGAAGGCAGCACCCTGGAAGAAGCCGAAATGGAGAGACAATGAAGAGATGCGGTATGCAAGCAAGCAATCTTTCTGGGAGGCGAATCCTAAACTGCCAAAAGATCAATCTTGTATTCAAGGTTGAAACAACGCGGGAAGGTCTGGGGGGAAGCGGAACCCCCACCACACAATGTGCCCCTCCATGAGGCACCGCAGCTTCTGCTTCCCAACGCCAAATATAAACCAGCACTGGAGAAGGAAAAAGTTCAGCACAAGCCCGGACACTTACCTGCACCGCCCAACAGCTCAGCCCGCGAACGTGGCTACTACCTCTCCGACCAGCTCTTCCGGGACCTCCAAAGTTACTCTGCGCACGCGCGCTCGGTCACGCCTCCCTCTGCACCAATCACGGCGCTGGTTTTTCCGGTAACTCCGCCCAGGCACCTCATTCATCACTTTGCCATCGCGGCTGGTGGTTGCAGCCGCCCTCTTCTCTCGCTTGCTTCCTCGGTGGGTAGAGACGCGCAAGGAAGTACGCGGGTCCTTTTGAGGCTTCACACAGCGGCCCGCTTGTCCGAGTCCAGCCTTTCTTGGGGTAATCCTGTGCAGGTGTTCCAGACCAATCCCACTGATTTCACATCAAATAGTAACTGTACATAGGACTGCCCTGTCCCTCCCGCTCGGACTCATACGCAGCAAGAAACGGAGGCTCAGCGCGAAGTGGGAAGAACCTTCCGATTCCCTGAGGCAGGTAGCGTGCAACGGGGGTGGTTGTGGCCACGTAGGACAGTCGCCTGTCTGGGCGCATCTCCCACGTTGGACTGCTTAGAGCCCGACTGCTGTGACGTAGAACGAGTAAGTCAATGTAGCGTGCAAAAGAGTATTGCCAAAAGCGCTTCCACCGGGCTTTTTTTTTTTTTAAGCCTGTTTCCCGCTTTCGGCAGTAAACTTTTACGTTCAGAGGAACGCAGCAGGGCGCCCTGAGCAAACTTGTCGGTCGCTCAGCCTCTCTCGGAAGGCTCCCTCCCTTTTATTCGGAGGGGCAAAAGTTCTTGGAAAACAAGGTTTGTCTTACGCTCCTGGGACTTGTGTCCAGTAACAGCTTTGTTTTACACCTGCCCACACGGGCGACCCCAGGGGCTTCCGACAACAAGAGCAGCCCCCCCCCCGCGGCCTTCCAAGGCAGCCCTTTAATATCGCGCGTGCTCAGACAGTCCCGTTGACGTCATCAAGCCCGGCTGCGCAGTCCTCCAGGAGCCCCGTCCGTGCCCCCAAGCGGACTCGGGGGCTGCGGCTTCCGACGCGGGGGGGGGGAGGGGGCGTGAGTGTGTCTGCGAGGTACGTGACAGCAGGGCGGGGGGGGGGCGATGACAGGAACCACCACACAGCTCTCGGGACCGAGATGATTCTCTTCTGTGTCCGTCCCCCCTCTCAAAGAGGTAGCCGCCCACCGCCTAAAGAGGCTGAGCAATGGGCGCAAGCGAGCGGCTGCCTGCCCGGGCTGGTTCTGGGGCATTCGGACCCTCTCTGGCAACATCAGAAGAGCCCTGCTGGATCTGACCAGTGGTCCATCTAGTCCAGCACCCTGTCTCACACAGTCGCCAACCAGTTCCTCTGGAGGGCCCACAGCGGGGGAAGGGAGGCCGAGGCCTTCCCCTGAGGTTGCCTCTCGGTGCTGGGATTCAGAGAGGATTCGCGCCTTTGATCGTGGCGATTCCCCTCACTCGCCGTGGCTAGTAGCCACTGGTAGAGCTATCCTCCACGCATCTATCTCTTCCCCTTTTAAAGCCGTTCATAAGGACAAGACATCAGGATTGCCTGTTCAGTTGGCTAGTGGGAAAAGATCAGTTCCCCCTACACAGTGCTTGATATTGTTCTGTATTCTTACTCCTGAGCTTTTGATTTGATTCCTCTGTCCTTGGGCCCAGTCTAGGTAAGCAATACAGTGAGATGATAGAAACCTGAGATGGTAGATCTGATTGCAGCTATACAGAGAGATGTAATTTTCAGATGCTCCACTATGTAAAAACCTTTCCACAAATACATCATTCTAGCACAGCCACAAGTTTCTAACCTAGCTTGCTTCATGCTGTACTGATTTTCTGCTTGTGGGATGCTGTTGTTTTAAATGTAGGAGAGCATTTAAAAAAAACCTACCTGTGATTCCCCTCTTGCTGTGGCTCAGTCCATTCTGCCATCTCAAATATCAGCTGCCTAGCTAGTCTCATTCTTCTGCAGGATTTATGTTGCTGGAGAGTTGGTGTGCACTAATTCAACTGGAAATGATCATATGCCAGATTACATGAAATTTTTATGCCAGAAATGCCATACCTAAGATATCCCATTCACACAAAGAAGCCATCACTAGATGTTGCAGTCGTTAAGTGGTGGACTGGTATCTGTGAACCAGTCCTTTAAACAAGCAATATGTATATGAAGTTTTCATGACGTGCCTTTGGTATTCAGGTACAATTTGTTGCATTTAAAACTGCCCTGAGTGTCATGTTGGATTATATGGGGTCACAGCAGTATTTTTCGTCTGCTGGATATTGGGGCTGCATCTATGGCTTGTTTGCTCACTGCATTCTCTATACAGACAGAGTAATGGTGTTGCTTTGCATGGGTCCAGTTTTCATTAAGGGATCTGGTCTTTAAACAGCCATCCATGTGTGCAACTTTATTCTCAGAGCAAAGCTAAATACATAAATAACAGTTGCACCAGGACTCAGTTACTTCCACATGTTTATCATGGTGTGATTTTCCTTATTCACTACAACACACTCATATATTTCTTCATGTTTATGACTGGAATTGATTTTACTGATGTAAACAGTCTCTTTGAACTTCTTCAACCTAAAACCAAAATTTGTTGAGTATTACAGGTTTTCTTTAAAAAAAAATCTGAAGGGGTGTTTCATTTGGTCAAAACTATTTCATTCTTTCCAGCATGAGCTTTATCCATGCTTTTTATAGTTTCTTCTAGAAGGAATACACAGAGGCACAAAGGCAGTATTATTGATTTTATTTCTCTTGTCTCCAGGTGTTTGGCTTCACATCTGTAACAATGACTAGGACAGTTAAAGAAAATATTGAGCTTCAGATGTCAGAACTAGAAATGCTTTTTTCCATGTTCCCTAATAAAGGAGAAATTACCCTTCAGGATGATAACACTTTTCTTAATGTTCAGCAGTATTTGAACAATGCTAGTGAAGCGCTGCCGCATAAGATTGAATATATGGTTTCTGTTGCCATTGATGAATTAAAGGTAAGACCATCTGTTTTGGTTTGTATAGCTCAGAGGGGTTTCTTTTGCTTTGACAGCTTTGCCTTATTTCCCTCTGAAGAATTTTAGTAACACTACACCTTGATCTAAAACATTTCTGCCAGTATGGCAGTATCTGCAGGCAGAGATAATCTTGAGCCAATCCGGCCACATTCTGTTTTCTTCCAGATAAAGATTTTTAAAATGTACTCCAGAATACACTTTTAAATTAGTGGTTCTCAAACTGTGGGTTGGGAGTTACTTGCAGGTAGGACAAGAGGCCAGGAGGACCTGGGTAAGATGGAAGAAGAGATTCTGGCAGGTTTCATGGCAAATTTGGGGTTTCACAGTGTGTGAAATGGCTGTGGAATACAGCTGGTCACTTAATAATGCTATATATTCATGGCTATTTTTGGGCAGGAACGCACAGGAACGGAGTTCCGGCTGGCTTCACAGCCGGCCATGCCCACTACAGCCAAAACCTCTGCATGCGTGGCTACAGAGGGAAGGCCTGGAGAGCGACCCCCCCCCCCGGTGACTCAAAGGCGGGCAGGCCGGGGGGGGCTTGTCCAAGGGCCGGCTTGCCCTCCCTTCCCTTCAAATCCCGCAGCCACAGGGCACCCAGGCAAGCCAACGGAAGGCACGGGGTGTGGCCTAATATGCTAATGAGCTGTGCTGTCAGGGTGTGGCCTAATATGCTAATGTGTTTCTGCTGTTGGGTGTGGCCTATTATGCTAATGAGTTCCTGCTGGGCTGCTTCTACAAAAAAAGCCCTGTATATATTTATAAATGCTAATTGTAAAAAATATCAACTTATTCAGAGTTAATGAATGGGAGATTCCTACTTTTTATATTCAGAGCAGAATATTATGAAGTTAGTTATAGGGCTCCCAAAACTATAGAAGATTTGGAATCTTATTTCAAAATGTCTGAGAACTACTGCTTAAGGAACTGCTTGCCTTGCATTTCACTTTGGAAGAAGTCATTAAAATTGTGGCTCTCTGGCTAACCCCGCTGGGTGGTGTGCTTTCAGGAACTGCCCCCGGTTTTCCTGATCTGCACTAGGTCCTGTGTGTGGAGAGCTCCTTAAGAGACGTGGCCTTACTCTGCAGCACTAATTGTTTTTTGGTAGTAAAGTCTTGGTAATAAAAACGCTTGCAAAGTACTAGATGCGGCAACTGGTTCTTCTATCTGCAACTAAAGGAGATCTGTAGAGACAAGACAGGGAAGAGAAACAGGAAAGCTGTAGAGGAAATGCAAAGTTGCCAGGGATTGAACCTGGGACCCTCTGCACGCCAAGATGTTCTAGCACTGGTCCCCAGCCACATCCCTTTTTGTGTTTTTATGGGTGATGAAGCAAAACTGAAATGAACTTATTCATAGTGTCAGCTATTGTAGTTTATGTTTTGACTCAGTTGTGTGCTGATGTAGGTGTATTCCTGGGTTTGTGTACTACATTCTCTGAAAGCTATTGCCAACTGGGTGAACTGGTCTTAACCCTCTCATTGATATAAATGCAAAGCTTTCAAACAGTGTACTTGGGATTGGGTATTGGTCTTTCCTTTGGAGTTCAATTTATAAATGTTTCTAAAAACTGTGACTAGCAAACACTGCACAGCTGCTGGAAATCTACATTTTATGAAGGGTGGGGTTTTTGTTTGTTTTGTCTTCTGTTTCAGGAGAGAGTAAATTTGCAGGTAACCTTGCCTTATGACTATCCTAATGCAGCACCACAGCTTTTTGCAAGATCAGATGCTGTAGATAGGCCGCAACAATTGCAGCTCAATAAGGATCTTGCTTCTTACATTGCTTCTTTGGAGTCAGGTGAACTCTGCATCTGGACAGCTGTGCAATGGCTGCAAGAAAACAGTTCACCCTATTTAGAAAACAGCAAATTCTCCTCTGCAAGAGAATCAAAAGAAAAAGTAGTTAAAACATTTTTTAATCGAATGTGGATTTACAGCCATCACATATACAGACAAGAATTAAGGAAAAAGATATTTGACTGTGCAAAGAAATTAAATTTGACCGGTTTCTGTTTAACTGGAAAACCTGGGATAATTTGTGTGGAAGGCATCAAAGAGAATTGTGAAGAATTTTGGCATGTAATTAGATACCCAAACTGGAAACACATTTCCTGCAAGCATGTTGAGAGTGCAGAGACTGAAGGAAATGAAGATCACCTACGTCGCTTTCATAGTTTTGAAGATTTACAGTTTCAAGCGCATGGTGATTATGGACTGAGGAATGACTATCATATGGATCTTGGTCAGTTCCTAGAATTCCTGAAGGAGCATCAAAGTGAACATATATTTCAGATCTTGTTTGGAATTGAAGGAAAATCTTCTGATAATTAATAAAGAAGCTTGTGTATTTAATTTGAAAGTTTGTATATTTAATATTAATTAAACTCACCCATGAATCTATCACAGTAATGAATGTAGAACATGTGACAAAAAACTGGAGCATGCACACACACACATAAAGCTTTACTACTTGTTCAGTTGATATAAAAAAGTTTATAAGTGAGTTTGAAGCCAAACTTTTCAGATTGGGTCTGATGGAAAGGAAGAGCATAAGGAACTGAATGGTCTGTCTAATCCAATATGGTTAATCCTGACAGAAAGTGCTCCTCAAAGCACATCAGTAAAAATTTAAGGAAATCAAACCGCCCTAAGATTTTTAAAAAAGGATAAAATACAGTGGATACTACCCCTATCCTCCCACTCCACTGAGCACAGTTTGAAGCCTTTGTCCAACTTTACTGGTTTTTCCGTGGAAGGAAGATTCCTTAAAGGTTGGATCCACACTAGTGGTATTATCTTACTCCCAAATTAAACAAAGCGTATTTGGGGTGATACATTGCTTGGTTGCATGATTCACTCACACATTCATTCCCAATACTTCATGTGCCAAAGATGTCTCTCTTCATGACCTTATTTTATGTATTTGGCATACAGATGACAGAATCAGTGGAGTGCTCAGAGTTTGTCATGGTGCTCCCAACAAAACTTAGGGCTCGAGCCACTTAAGGCACCAGTGATCAAAACTTTGGATTTTCCTTAGAAATTGATATGCCACATCCTATGAGTTCTGTGCCATTTTCAGCTACGAACAATGTATTACAAAACAGGCTTACCCAGAAGTAAACCCCACTAAGCCCAATAAGTTTGTGAAAGTACAAAACTGTAAATCTCAATGACCAGAGCAAGCTAGAATCGTCTACAATAGCATTGTCCTTTCTCCTTTAACTGCAAATGTAGCTTCTATTATTAGCACACTTGTATTTAGGTTCAAAGCTTTCAAACAGTGTACTTTCTAGGACTTCAAAGACATAGATAAGGTATAACTACAGAGATTAAAGTACCTAGTTGTGATTTTATTTAAAAAAGCCACAGAGCTCAGTACTTATCAACATACTGATAGAACATCATTGTTCTCCATGCCCTTGTCCAGCTACCTCATTTATATGTAGAAGAGGCAGAAAGAATCCTTAGTGGAATCCCATTGGGGGGAAACAGCAGGGTGATCTTCCTGGGAAGATCAGTAATGACAGATAATCTTCCCTGAAAGATAGTTGAACCACCACCACAAATCTTTACCCACAGTGTGCAGCCTGGGGGACTGATGCATATGTTCTTTTTTTCTTTTTTTATAACATATTTTTATTAGTTTTTTTCCCTTTTAAACTTTTACAATGCATGTAATTCAATTTCTTACGATTTCCTCCCCTTCCCCTTCCTCCCTCCTCCCTTCCCTATCTTAGTGTTGTCTATAGTCTTTTGACCCCAGCCATGGGCACAAAGTCTGAATCTTCCACTGAATGTCTTTTCTTCCTTCCTTTGATATCCAGTCCAAATAGAGTCTTCCATCTATTCCGAACTTCTGCAGGTTTACCTTCCCATGTTGTCTCCTTGCGTATAGTTGCCACGATGTCTGACTGTATAAACTCAAACAAATAGTTGTGCCAGATTTCAACTGTTTATCTACATTTATCTTTCCAACCCAAAGCTATAACTGCTTTACCCGCCGATATCATAGCCTTAAATAAGATTTGATCCTTCTTTTCCACTATTGGGCTTCCCATTGTACTTATCAACATTAAGTTGAGGTCTATGTTTAATGTTATTTTACTTACTTTCCTTATAGCTTTAGTAATTTCTGCCCAGAATGCCCTTGCTTCTCTGCATTCCCACCACATATGTGCAAACCAGCCTTTAGATTGTCTACAATGTCAGCAGAGGGAGCTTAATCCTGGGATCATGTTAGCTAATTGGGCTGGTGTCTTGTACCATTTTGTGAGAAATTTATATTCAAGTTCTTTAAATTTAATTACCTTAATTTCTTCTATTCCTTTCATGATTTTTTTCTGCCATCCTCTCTGTTATCTGACCTTCTCTACTCCACACTTTTTGTAGATATTCTATTATTTTATCTTTATTTGATATCATCTTTTTATAAATTTTCCCTACTACACCTTGTTTTTCCTTAGTCATTTCTTTATATATTTCTTCCATTGGTTCGTCTATCCATATTTCTTCTTTTTCATTAATCTTCTTTACTGCCTTATAGAGACCTGCTATTTTTAGCCAATGTTGCTTATCTATCTCCTCTATTACTTCTTGTAATGGCTTAAGAGTTTTCCCTCTAAACATATCCCCCACTCTGGTATCCTTTGGACCTTAGAGTTTCCCACCATTTATTTTCTTGCTCCTCTTCCATAACAGTTTCTAATGGCGCCCATCTAGAGTGTCTTCCTAGCCATTTCGGTTGCCATTTCTTCCAAACTTCTAGTGTTGCTCTTCTAGGGCCTATTGTTAGTTTTAGGTCTTTAGCCTTCACTTCGTAAAAAATATCTAGTCTTCCTATATTATTGTTGATCTCATTCTCAAATCTAACCCATTTCCGTTATCTTTCCTCTCCTAACTCCAGTAGTGATTTAAGTTGGAATGCGTCATAATAATTATTTAGATCAGGAACTCCCCATCCAAGTTCTAGCTTATGGCTATACATTATCCTTTTTTGAAATCTACTTTTTACCAAATATCCATTCTTTTAGTAGTCTATTCCATTGTACAATTTTATTTTCCTTTGCTCCCATTGGTAATAAGTACAATATTTCAATATTGAAATAAGTACAATATTTTGGGTACCAAAAACATTTTTGTGCTTCTAATTTTAGAGGATATCCCTAATGTTTTATTTTTCCATCTTCTCATATTTTTCTCTATTTTTCTCTCCTCTCTATTTACATTTAAGTATATAATTTCTGATTTTGTCATATTCACTCTTAGCCCTGAACATTTTTCGAAATCATCTAGAATAATCTTTACTTCTTTTACTCCCTCTTTTGGATTTGTCATAATAGTTATGATGTCATCTGCAAATAAATTGATTTTCATTTCCTCTTTACCTATCCTATAGCGTTCTATTCTTCCAGAGTTTCTGATCCATTCTGCTAACTGTTCTATTGCCATTATGAAGAGTAACGGTGATAATGGGCAGCCTTGTCGTACCCCTCTTTGTATAGGAAATGTTTGTGAGTGCTCATTATTTACTCTTACTATTGCCTTTCCTTCTTTATAAATTTCCTGAATTGCCTCTAAGTATTCCTTACCTATTCCTACTTTGCTCATTATTTGCCCTAAATATTCATGGGAGAGGGTATCAAAGGCTTTATAAACATCTAATTTTAATAACTTACTTTCTTCTGGTGGGCATGATATAAAATATTAAGAATGTTTCTTATGGGATGGGCTATGCTTCTACCTTTTAGAAACCCGTATTGATCTCCTTTTATTATTGATGGGATAACCCTCTTTAATCTATTTGCCATTATTTTAACAAAAATCTTGTAGTCTTGATTTAAGAGAATTATGGGTCTATATGATCCTACTTCTTTAGGATCTTTCTGTGGTTTAAGAATCAATATTATTTCTGACTTCCTTCATGAATCCGGAGCACTCTTACCTTTTAAGACTTCATTAAACAATACCTGAAGTTCCGGTACTAAGATGTCCTTCATTTCTTTATAAAATTCACCCGTGAAGCCATCTAAACCTGGTGATTTACCTTTTTTTAGTTCTTTTATTACTTCCCTTTATTTCTTGAGCTGTAATTTTGTTCTTTAATTTTCCTCTCTCTGCTGCCTTCATTGTTAGGCTAATTTCCTCCTGACAGTCTACTGTATTCTTTTTTTTTAAACCCCCGAGGGGGTATTTTTATTATTTTTCATAAGACTATTAACTACAACGAAAAATATAGGAAAGGGGGAATACAACTAAGGATAAAGAAAAGATACCCACACTAACTAAAAACCCAAGAGAAGGAGATCATTTCCATGTTAATCTAAATGTAAGTGATACAAGTGTTAGTAATGCAATATACTTGTGAAGTTCTTGTTTTACACAGCTTCTATATTAGTATGTTAGTCTTTGTGAGAGTACTTCTTGAGCATCTTCTTTACTTCAAAGAGCAATTTACAGAGTCCTTCTGCCCTTACTTCGGTTTTCTATCCCTGAAGTCATATACAGTTTTCGTTGCTCCCGCTCCCGCTTCACCCACAGAGTCTTCGCCCGTTCATAAGACCCCAGCAGAGTCACTTGATTTGGTTTCTTCATCTTTAAGTTCTTCCTCCGGTCCTAGCTGACGTCTCAAAAATTCCTTAGCTTTAAAGATGGAGTCAATCTTCTCTCTTTTATCGTTGACTTTAAAAATTACACCTTCAGGAATCACCCACCTGTACTGAAGTCTTGGAGTCATGATAATTGATTCTGTGTGCAGTGTCGTTGGGGGAAAAAACCTATGTTAAAGATTATTAGGGGAAAAAAGAATTTAAAAGAAAAGTTGTCAAACTCAGGTCCTTGTTTGCCATGGATCTCTCACGTTCTGCTGTATTGCCTGTACTGTATCTGTGATGCTTTGTTCCTTCACTATGGGAAATGGGGGGGGCAGCCTGTGGGTGTGAGAATGCTTTACTGTGCTCATTTACAACTGCTTTCCAAGTGGGCCTCCTGATCTGGGAAGAATGCACAACAACCTTGAATGCCAGTCTCTGCTAGCCAACTTTCAGTAGATAATGTAATGTAGGTTTGCAGGTGATGGGAGGGGGGCTAACGGAGCATGCTAGGTTTAGGCGGGTTGAGTGAATGGATTGATTGGACTGGTCACTGGGGGAGGCTTGTTTGAATCATGTATAATTTCTGAACTGGCTTTGGTGAGTCAGTTCCTACCTTTTGAGTTTACTCAGGAGCCCTTAATGAGTCACTTATATCAAAAGCTTTTTGGAAGTCTGAGAGCATCTATAGAGCATCTTTAACATGGATCAGATCAGTTCTGAAACAAATGGTCTTAGTTTGATACAGTCTCATCTCTCAATAAATAAATCACTGCAAAGAGAGTGTTGTTGG